TATTTTTAATGTCATGCTACAAGTCAAATTTCAAGATGATGGATTTGTTCTTTTTTAGGCACCGAGTTTGAGTAAAAGAAATGCTTTAATTCTGTTATGCATTGCATATCTTTGCTTTAACTAATCTGTAGTTCTGATTCTTACCATTGCTTCATTTTCTTCGGTGATTGGAATTTAATTTTATTCATTAATTTGTGAATAATTAGATAAAAAAATAATGTCCTCAGCAGTCAAATTGCCTCTGGATTGCAATTTAATGTACTTTTACCAGAATATGTATTCTCGTTAAGCTGGCATAATAGTTTACTAAAATGTAATTGTGTAAATATGCCCAATTATTCTTTCTGATGATCTAAGAAAATCTAATAGAATATGGATTCGTGAGTATTTCCCTCCTCCTCCACCTCAACACCAATAAAACGCCCTTCCTGCAGAGCTGATCACAGATGCCTTGTCATCTGAAGGTGTTACTTTTAAAAGATACTCTCCTTATCTCTCAGGCACTATTCATGTCCTTGAAAGAACTGTGCATTCTGATCCAGGGATCATATGACGTCCACATTAAATTATATAATAAAGGTGATCTCAAGACTCTAAGAGTCAGACATACATGATGAACTGTGCTTTCTAGGTTTTGAGATGACATTTTAAAACTTCTTTTGTTTCTCTCGAAGACTGCTTGAGATCCTAACTATTTGTAGGTGTTTGACACCACTCCGCCACATCTGTAATTGGCAGAGCGAGCATCCAGCAGACAGGCTCTGTACATCTTTACACTGCAACCTACCAAGTTAAGAAATGTATTGGTTCAATATAAAACAGCAGGCTGTTTTTAGACATAGTTACTAGTGCACAAGCTTTAATATGGCTTGGCTTCATCCTATAATGAGATCTTTTGGTTCCCTGCTCAACAGGCTTTTATTCCTTTGCAAAAGGCTATGAACTATGTCAAGTGGATCAGCTGCTTTTGTACACCCTCTTTCTTGGCTTTGGAATGTAATTCTTTTGCTTCTACCCCTTTATGCATCAGACAGAACTTAAGAACCTTTTCAATTTTTCAAGCTAAACTTAGAATTGGTTTGAATTTGCTTTTTACTATTTTCCTAATAATTACATTCTCGACTGAACCTCACACAAAGACCTGCCTGGAAGTGAGCACTTAATTGCAAAGCTCTACTTTGTCTTTAACACGTGCTATCTATACCCCATGTTGGTAATGTGTCAAAGGATGGTTATCTAACATGATTTCTTCACGGTCACCTCACAAGTAAATGCAGGGCTCTGTTTTAGCAAGTACTGAGGCGACGGATGGAGGGCATAAATAACAGGCAAACAATGGAACTGGAACTAGGAGCCACAGTTCAGTGGGAAGGCAGGAAGCTACTCGGCATTTGGCAGCTTGGGAGCTGTCGGTGTAGTCCCCCTGGAAACTCACACTATTGCCCTGGTTGGATGAAGCACGGGATGGTGCAGGCTTCTGCTTGCCTGGAGATCCTGCCTTCTACAGGGTGGGGCCCGGCTGTGCTCATAATCCTTTTCAATCCAGATTGCCTATTGATTTCATTAAAATTTGATCATTTATATGGTATTTTGATTCACAGTCCTTTAAGGTTGAGGGAGCAGTCATTGATGGGAATGTTGAGAGGTGGAAATACATGGTGGACTTAGTCACCACTGATGGTTTTTGTAAAAATCACCCTCCACTTTAGGGCTGCATCATAATGCTTTCATCTCTCCACAGCTCTTCCACAGAATCTCTAATACTAAATGAGCAAGTAAATGCAAACAGGTTTCTTATGGGAGGTGCCAAACTTCTTACCTAGGTTGGAGCTATGTGAGGGTTCTGACCCCACTGAGGTACCTAGAGAAAACAGGCACTTGTAGGGGCACCTGGGTGGTTCAGTCCATTAAGCGTCTGACTTTGGCCCAGGTCATGATCTCCCGGTTCCTGAGTTTGAGCCCATGCTGTGCTCTGTGCTCACAGCTCAGACCCTGGAGTCTGCTTTAGACTCTGTGTCTCCCTCTGTCTCTGCCCCTCCCTTGCTCATGCTCTCTCTCTCTCAAAAAGAAATTAGCATTGAAGACAAAAAAAAAAAAAAATAGGCACTTGTAAATTTACTGGTTATAGTGGGAAATAGAAATAAGGGGTTAAAGGGACACCCTTGTAAAAATTCTTGATTAAAAGATGTAAATAGTATGTGTGGAATAAACCCTATTAATATATTTACTGTTTAAAACAAAAATGGTGTGCTTTACAGTAGTGTAAAAGGAAAATAAAAATGGGTATTATAGTATTTGATGAAATTTTATCTTGCCTGTCAGATTAGATGTAATAAACCTACAGGCCTACAAATCACAAGTAATTGGAAAGGACATAAAGGTCTTGAATAATTTGAAAAATACTCTCATTAATAAATAAACTTATTCTTTAGGTGGTTGGGTAAATCTAAGCATTTAAACTGGAACACAAGAAGGCAAGCCATAGACTCAGGACTCCAGTCTTATTTATGTTAGGCAGTGACTTTGACATTTATAACATTAGAATCTAGGGCACTGATAGAGTTTGTATGGATAAAGAATGGAAAGTTATTACATAAGGTTGCCTTGGTTACTCCTTGAACTGTTCAGTGAAATACTACTTTAGGTGAGGAAAGTGGATATAGTTAATAGACTAAGAATACAAAAATAAAATATCCCTAAATAGAAACGCTTCTGCTAAATAAATGCTGGGGGTGGGGGGGTTAAATACTATAAAACATTTCCTACTACTTGAAAATTATATGACTAAAAACCCTAGATGAAAATACTTTTTTTTTTTTTTTTAATTTTATTTTTAGGAGAGAGAGAGAGAGACAGCGTGAGCAGGGGAGGGTCAGAGAGAGAGGGAGTCACAGACTGAAACAGGCTCCAGGCTCTGAGCTGGCAGTCAGCACAGAGCCCGACGCGGGGCTCGAACCCACGAACCGCGAGATCATGACCTAAGCGAAAGCCGGACGCTTAACCGACTAAGCCACCCAGGCGCCCCTAGATGAAAATACTTCTGATGATTTAACTTTTGGGTAAAATTGATTAAACCTAATACCCAGTTTCACAGGTGTGTGTGTGTGTGTGTGTGTGTGTGTGTGTGTGTGTGTGTGTGTGATCTCAGTATATACATTAAAAATAAATTATCTTTGTTTCCATTTATTTTGGAATTATCTCCCAACTTACAAAATCCATTTACCTAAGACTATGTTTTAACATACTCTATTACCTATGATTTGCAGTAAAACTGATCTGAATATTTCATATGAAAGCATGAGCATATCCTCATGTGAGCATGAGTCATGTGATTTACATAAGGAAACTATGAAATCTTCAGAAAAGGCAGTAACAAGAAAAGCCTAAAGTTTTCAATTATAGTTGAATTATTTCAAATCAATATAAGAATTAGATAGGAAATATGCTAAGGCACAATGGAGAATTTTTTATTTCAAAATAATGTATTCAGGATAATATAGGTCCAGTTTAAAAATATCTAAGGTTAAGTTTCCACATTTGAAAAGAGACCAAATCTATAACTGTAAACTATAGCACTTAGTCATGAGGGCCATATAATGAAACCAAACATTTTACATACAGAAATTCTAACATATACTGAAACTATTTTCACATTTTCCTACTTTTGTTTTTTTTTCATTTTTTAAAATCATAAAAGACACTTTATGGAATGACTGGCAGACAATAGAGGAAAAGTCCTGTGAACATAAATATGAAAATAAAATTCTGCTATCATCAATTAATGTTCTCTGTTAAGAAGAAACATTACTTAAAAAGTGCTAATATTTTCATTGCAAATAGTAGCAGAATATATTTAAATATTAGATAAACCACTTGGTTGAAAACTTTTACATGATAAAAAGTGACGCATTTTAACAATTCTGGGTCATTAGAAGGCTTTACATGTCAATACGCAGATGATATTCTTATATCCTAATATATACGCATAAGTTAACGTTGAGTATATGTAAATATTCAGATTCTGGTTACTATGAAATAGTACAAAGACATTCTTATATTTAATGTAACAAATGAGAGACACTCTGTAGACAAGAGAAAGACAGCTGTTCCCTGGAATTCTATTTAAACCCGACAATTTAAAGGCTGTGTGTGTGTGTGTGTGTGTACACACACATAGCACTGAAAAAGGGAGTCAAGAGTTTGCTGACTTTTTTAAGTCTTTTCAGTAATGACAAGTAGAACTAGGTTTTATCTCAAAGGAAAAACTGTAGGTGACATACCTATGCTTGAGGTTTTAAACCTTTCTTAAAAGCTTAGGTTTGTTAAAGGTTTCCTAAAAATAGTCATTTGTTTTTATGAGTTTGAATTTCAACTGGAAGAACTGAAAATAACTATTAATCCAAAGGTATTCTTTCAGAATTTTTACAAGGACTTACATTAAACCAAACCAAAATACAATTTTGGGGAGATCAGACGTAGTAGGAAAGCACACAGTATGGAAATTTACTCCCCCTTTCATCTGGGCTACACAAAGTGTCTGTCTAAGTCTTACTAACTATATACTGATTCTCATAATTGACTTACTTCTTTATACTTGCAGCATCTTTATAACCTGTCCTGTTGGCTTAATTTAACAGCAAATTGCAATACTGACATTTGGTCACAGTAGCGGACCTTAAGTTTTCCACTGCTTTGGAAAGAATAGTTTACATTTAAGATGAGCTGTGTTTATAAAATATAACAACATTGGTTAAGAAGCAAAACAACCGGGGCGCCTGGGTGGCTTAGTCGGTTGAGCGTCCGACTTTCGCTTAGGTCATGATCTCGCGGTTCGTGGGTTCGAGCCCCGCGTCGGGCTCTGTGCTGACTGCCGGCTCAGAGCCTGGAGCCTGTTTCAGTCTGTGACTCCCTCTCTCTCTGACCCTCCCCTGCTCACGCTGTCTCTCCCTCTCTCTCTCCTTGAAATAAATTAAAAAAAAAAAAAAAAAAGCAAAACAAACTTTCTTCCCTTAGAAAAGGCTTAAACCTCTCCAAAAATTAAAACATTTTTTTAATAAATCAAAATCAGAATACTGAGATTTTAATATGTAAAAAATAACCAGCTTAAATGCAATTTGTCAAAAGCCTTCCATGTTCTGTATAAAATAGAGCTATTTTAATAAACCATATTAAACCATATTTCTTATCAAAAACTTTATCATCACATTTAAATTATGTGTAAAAAATTAGTGCATAATTTAGTTAATTTTTTATTAAAAAAACTGTATTCCTGCAAGTAAAGAAAATACATACTTAAGGCATTTTTCTTTTAACTGCTTAAGGACACACACAGTTTGGGCTCCCACCTAAAAGTTGTTCCTGCATCTAGTTCACTCAAGCCATAGATGGATCATTCATCCTAAAAGGCCTCTTCAAATACCACTTTCTCCTTGAGGCCCTGTGCATATTCCGGTAGATAAGAGCTATTCTTCTCTGTGTATTCTTAGAGACTTTTTGGTCTTTCTCTGGCATAATCCTCACTTCAGTATGCCTTGAGGAATGGTTCATTCTTTCCAGGTCTCTCTGCTCTGTTAAACTGTATACTCCTCTGGATGGGAGTTGAATGGCATCTGTCTCTGAATCTGAGCAGGCGATTAGACACAGGAGGAGCTCAATATCTGTTGAACAAGTGAGGAAAGTGAGAACAGAGCATGGAGACTAACACGGAGTGCCCAACTATGGTGTGGGTTTGTTTCCCAAGGTTCACTTTAAAGGAAAGAAATGCTTACTTTGAACCATGGATAGATAAACATCAAAAATAAATTGTCTGGTTTAAATACCCACAGAGAAATAATACATTTGGAGCAACAGACTCCTAAGAATGGTTAAAAGAAATAGAAGTATGTATAGAAAGGAGGAGACATTTAGCATTTTTTTGGGTCAAAATGTCCCTCAGTCATTGTAACCTATTAAGTTTACAAGTAGTTAAAATTTCACATATTAAACCACGTAGATTTGGTTAGAGAAGGCTTTCAGAGATTACTTAATGAGTGAACAGTGCAAATACTGGCTTGCTTCATGCGAATCTTACCATGTGCCTTTCCGCCCCCTTAAAAGAAAAATCTTAAAACTCTCCAGTTTTAACACAACCGAAGATAAATCTCTATGAAGGAAAACAAATTCCACAGCATTCCATACAGATTTCCAAACAGTCTGATGATTCACAACAGGCATCCATGATGCCACAATCCATGTCGCAAGGGCAGTTACAGTCCTCTCCCATTTCATCTCCACAGCAACAGCAGCAGGCTTCTGAGGTGCAGATGCCACATGAAGCTTGGCCCAGGACAATATTGCAGAGGGTCAGGAATTCACAGAACAAGCAGGCCAGGATACAGTGGACACAGCAATCTTCATTTTCAGTTGGGAAGAGAACACATATGAAGGAAAGAATGAACACAATTAAAGAAGTCATCAATGGACTGGATAATAAGAATTGATCAAAATAAGTAATCCAGAACGCAGTGACATGCACTCTTAGAAGTCTTTCTGTGGGCTGGAAGCTCACAAAGAAACTTAAGCTAAATTTTAGAGAAGTAATCTTTAGATGTAGGTATTGCATTCAGGGAAAAAAAAAAACAGATGGTTGTGTGTACAGGTGTGTGCATGTAGGTTAGATTTTACATTACTCTCACACATTGTTCAGTGGTCTTGGTCCTAGGTTCCACTTCTCTGTGTCTCTTACCCATTGTCCCTATATCCTATTATTCTCTATAACAGAAGGTAAAACAATTCTGTAACAGTACAGTCCTTTAGACATAGAAATTTGCTCCATCCACCTGCTCCAACATTGGAAGGAAAAGAAAATTCAATAGGATATATTCAGTAGATTATTGAGTATATCATGAGTACATCATGATATATAAGGTACTTGAAGTGTTCTGAAGAGCTAACAAGCTAGATTATTATCATATTAAGAAACTAGTGGTTAACTGGCAGTAAGCCAGTTCTATTCAGTATGCCTTCAAAGAAATACTCCTATTAACCAGTTCTAACATTTCTGACCTTCACTTTCTATTGTGCTAGGGAAAGTTTGTATTTCAAAGCTGAAAGGGGAACCTACAAAACTCACTTGACACTAAAGAATCTTTAACTGAGTATTCTGAAAACCCTAAGAATATTACTGGGCATTAGATTATTTACGTATTAATCAGAAATTACATCAACATCAAACTATCTGTAGTGGATCTATCAATTTTAAAGGGGGAAAGAATGGTCACCCCACCTAGTGTCAGAAGTGGAGGGTTAAATCTTTGACGCCTCTTTTGGTCCCTTTCTAATAAGTAGATTTTCCTCTCCTGAAATATGACCAATGTCTTGAATTTTCTTCCCTTACTTATCATTGCACTTTTTACAACAGTGAATGTGTAAACATCCCTAAGTAACTGATCAGAAAAGAAAGGATGCCTTGTGAATTCCTGTGAGTAGCATTTTTTGCTCAACACTGTGTTTCAGATTTCCCCTCACTGATTCATGTCACTATAGATCACTTATCTTCCAGGTGTAGAATATTCCAACTGAGCTAATATATCATAATTTTTCCATACTATTTATGAATATCTTTGTCATGTCCAGTGTTTTTCCTACTCCAAACATCACTGTTGGGAATGTTTTGTACAAGTGTCTGAGAACATACATGATCTATAACTAGCAGAACTGTTGGCTCATGGGATATGCAAATGGGTTTCCAGAGCGGTTGCTCAAGAGTTTACTCCCACAAACCAAGTTTGAGAATGCTCACTGTCTGCATCCTCATTAATCGTGGATACTGTCATACTTTCATATATGCCAGTTAGGTGAGTGTGAAACAGGATATCCTTGGTGGTTTTACTTTGCATTTACTGAGTTACTAGTAGGTTTGGACGTCTTTTCAAGTTTGGTCATTCATGTGGTCTCTTCTTTGAAACAGGTGTTCAGTGTGTTCGTGTTTTCCCCTCATTGTTCTATTAAGTTGTGCTTTTTTTCTTACTGATTTTAGATGTTCTTCATATGTTCAAGATACCAATCCTTTCTCAAAAATGACTGTTTGCTCTTAGTACATGGTTTTTCTTAGGTTAAAGTAAACTAACAAGAGACAGATGAGTTAATTTTCAGACTTTGAGAGTTAAAGTAATAAAGATAAATCCAAATCAAATCTTGTTGTTAGTTGGAGATATAGGATTGACGAGATGGCTGAGGAGGCATTAACAAGATCCGGTAGCAGAATGAAATAAAAAGTTTTAATGCCTGATTCAAAAGAAGGGAGCTCAGCCCAGCCCTGCCTATATATAGAGAGAGGGAGAAGAAACCAATAATCAGGAGGGAGAGACTGAATGTGATGAGTGAGAAATCAACAGCCCTCAAGATAATTCCAAACTAAACAGCTCATTGCCACTCACAGGACCTCTCTATTCATTGGAGAATGAAAATCCCTTCCTGATTTTAGATGACAGTTGCCTCAAACCCAGAATAGGATCTGTCTAAATTCCTATTTTAGCCAACAGGATTCACAGATCAAATTAAGTCTGTTAAACTTCCTTTGTATTTTTAGTAAACAAAACAAAACAAAAAGTTCTTAGCTAGAAATAGATCAAACACTCCTTTCTAATCTATCTTGTACAATAAAACGTGATTTCTATAACTAATAGGTATGAGTGGTTGTCTTTCACAGAATGGGAAGCCTAGCAAAAATGAAGAAAAATTATTTATTTGCATATTAGGAAAAAAATATCTCAGGAGAGAAAATGTTTTCATTATTTCATTAAAAAAACTATTTTAGGTACTTTAATCTCTATGTAAGGCTTTTTCCAAATACTAATTCACTTAATTCTAATAATATTCTCAAGAAGCAATACTGGTATTATCTGTGTTTTACCAATATAGACTTAGAAAAAATTTAGAAAACTTGCCCAGAGTCATCCAGGCCATAAGCAGCAGTGCCAGGGTGAGAACCATGTGGTTTGCAGGGAAAGGCCCTGCTCTAATCCAGCATGCTGTGTTGACCGCAGGGGTGGACTGCTTGGTTCATCTTCCTCGGGGGAAGATCAGTTATAAACCCAAAACTTACTGATTTGTCTTGATCTGTTTTTAGCCTTGATTCATGTTCCTTTCCTTTCTAAAGATGATTCTGAATTTCACTTTGAATGAAGAGTTGATAGTACAGGTTAACCTTCAACAGGTAAGAGCAAAGTTTGTGAGCTGGAGAGCTGATAAACTGCCAGTTACATTGTGGAGACAGACATAAGAGGGTGGGCAGCAGAAAGAGAGAGAGAGATAGTGTCTCAAAAGAAGCAAATCTGTAAATGTGACACAAAAATTAAGGTCCACAGTTATATGAACAAAAGCAGTGAACAGATTATGTAAGGATTCTGGTACAGCATGGTAATAACACAGGTCTTAAAAGAATAAGTTCTTTAGGTAAATACGAAAGGTAAAAAAAAAAAAAAATACATCCTCTTAGCACATAGGTCCTACATAATTTACTAGAAAACCATTTTGTGCTACTCTGAAAAACCAATCTATTAAAGGGTACCTAAAAATGTCACAAACCAAACTGCACCTTAGAGAGTAAAGTGATATTAAATAAGGCGCATTTACAGGGACATATACCACAAATGCAGTCATTACCTGTACTTTATAAGAACTTCCTAGGTATGAAAGCAACAAAAGAAACAAAAGGATTCCTAAGTTCTATCAAGTCAATTTAATAATCTAATTTTTATTCCTTGCCAAAAACATTTCTTTTGGTTGTGTTCTAGAAAGAGCAGTTTGTGACCCAGGGCAATGAAAAGGTTAAACTAAGACAAAATAGCTGATAGCGTTTCTTCCACTATCACCTCCACCACCCCCAGGGGAATCAAGAATCATAAAAGATATTACAATGTTTTTTTTTTTGAAGCAAAGAGAAGAGTCTAAGAATTAGCAAACTAAGAAGACTTCAATAGAGAAACTTAAAAAAAGAAGAGTCTTCTTCATAGATGATAGTTCACAGTCAGAAATAATTCTCCCCCCCCCGCACTCGTTCTTGAGGTTTTTCATTTTTATGGTTTTATTCACTCATACTTGCAGTTTTTGCCAAAAGCATTTAACCTTTGAGAAGCCAACTAGGTTCTGGGAAGGATGCCTGTCCCAAACCGGGCCAAGCAAGAATTGCACAATTCAGTGTGCTAGTGAGAGGGGAACTCAGCACAAGACTGACAGCTACTGTAAATTGAGGAAAACAAAGGCACATACCAGCAGCCAAGTATCTTGCAAGAAATCATAAAAGGAAAACTTTAGTGCAATATTTGATTTAAAAAAAAAAAAAAAAACCCAACAACAAAACTGCTATAAAAGACTGCAGACACAAACAAACCCAAACAAAATATCTGAATCCTATGAAAGGTCATCAGTGTTAAGCCCCTGTAGCTGGTCTATTTGGAAAACATCCGGCTGCCCCAGGCCTTGAAAGCAACAATAGAAACCACTTCAATAGCATCTTAGGTGGCTCTAGAAATGTCCATGACTGGCCCAAGGGGCTTTGGTCTGTTTAAAACGAGGCTGAAGACTCATTTTTATAAGAATACATTAATTTAATAATGAAACGATCCCGAACTAATTTACCTCCTCATCAGTGGCCCCAAATGCTCAGAAAACAGAAGGGAGAGCCATCAGAAAACTATGTGCGCAGTAAACTCAGCTCTATTATAAAGGAATCTATTACATTTCTCGAGTTTTCTTTTTTTAAGATGTGGTATGACAGATGCTCTGAATTTCTTGGAACAAAGACCCCAAACAGCAGAGTACTGGGAAGCACAGAGCAGAGAATTCTGAGAATAACCCACAAACCAGATTTGTATGTGTTTTATCTCAACTAATCTCTAATAACGTTTCCTATGACTTCAATGCTTGAAACGACTTTCTTAACCAAGCCCCCAACAAGTAAACTATATACTGAGAAACAGAAGTTTGTTAACATTGTTAACAGTGTAACAGTATGCCAAAAAGCAATTGCAGATTAGAACATGAGCAGTCAATTATGCGTAATGAGTCATTTAATAATTGCACTGAGATCAAACCTGACTTCACACCCACAGCTACAGAGAACCCACAGGTGTTCCCATGTCTTGAACTGCTAAGGCTCACATCTGCCCAGTGGGGGGGTAAAAGGGGCTCACTGTACAGAGGATGCCTGATTGGTTGGTGGCATTCTTCTTACCAGACACTGCCTGACTGCAACTGTTGTTTCTCAAGGTAAAATCAGAAAGCAGGCTAGATGTGGGGTTTAGTAATCCTGAAAATTGCAGCCAGGATGGCTAAGTTAGTATCTGGCCTATGTGAAAAGCCAGCTGTGAGGGGTGAGACACAGACCTCTCCAGGGAGTTGTGCTCCTC